CAAAACCCTTTAAATATAATTTATTTTTTTTACTTTGGCTGGACTTTAAAAGTGACGGACCTCTGAGTTTGTTTCGGCATTTCTTCTCAGAGTAGTCAGATAGGAAATGCTGGCTTCATCAATTTTTTTATATTGTACACAATTTTGACGTGTAAACGTTCTGTTTAAGGCCAATTTGCAAAAATAAATTCATTGTTTCGTTATTTCTTGGGACTTGAAAGTGTGTTCCAAGTGCGTCCAAATGAGGTTAACTCTTCTTCTGTAAAGACATCTATCACGGAAAGGAAACAGGAGTTGTTCTATTTAGATGATCTTTTCTGAATCTAAATAAAACGAGTTTAAGGTTTATAAACCTTCACACAAGGAAAGACAATTAGTTTTTGGCATGTTACTTATTACCTATGTGAAATTTGAAATGAGAAAAAATATCATCACATTTTCACGTCACACACGATTTTCATCACAAGTCAGTGTTATAATTAAATCTTGAAAAATGATTTGTCAAATATTATTAAGTAGTTATCATAATTATGAATGATTACTTCAGTACCTAAACTGTGACGACACTGTGACTCTACTCATTATCTGGCGTAATTAAAAAATAATTAGGAAAGATAAGATGGATATCAAAAAAATTAAGGCGATTAGCGATTCAGATTTATTAAAACGACGAAATAATATTAGTGATAGATTCAAAACGTGATTTATCGTTCGTATCAGACACGTGCCATGTGTAATTGAACAGGCTTCAGGTATTTGGCATCTAGTTCCGAGTAGATCCTTGTGAAGGTTAAATTGGTTCTCCATATTAGAGTTATTCTTTAAGACCAACTGTTAAGGATTTTAATACGAAGATTATTACTACGGATTAGGTTGAGTAATTAGTCTTAGAACGATATGATTGAACCCACATTCATAGGCACGTGTAATTTAAAAAAAATTAAACATGTTATTTTTTGATTAAATTAAGTGTGTGACTTTAATACAATCAAAGTTAAAGTCAAAATAATTTATTCCAACTAAACCACAAATAGGTACTTACTTTTGAAACGTAAAAATAGAATAGAAGTCTGTCAGTCTGTTCGTCAGTGAAGCTAGGTGCTCGTTCCAAATTTTAGATTTGAATGTAGAAGAACGAGCAAGAAGCAAGAAACTCCATCGTTACTCTCATCAATAATGTCAAAGATATCAGCTGATACTACCACTATGTTAGTAAAGGATAAATAAAATATAAATAACTAGCAGACCCAGCCACGCGATGCTGTGGCTAAGGTTCTTGTCATATTACATGGACAAATAATTTGCAATTAAATAATATTGTGACTACAAATTGAGGTATAAGCTATCCTATCTTTCAAGTTGGATCAAAATGCACACGGAATGCAAATCAAATTTGAAATCGGTTTAGTAGTTTAGGAGTCCATCGCGGACAAACACGTGACACGACATTTTTATATTATAAAGATAAATATTGATGATATTATTTCACCTAGAATATGAATTGCGATCTACACTTGGTACTTGAAATTCGGCTTCGCGATGGCGTTAAACTTAATATTCTTAATCACCATTTCAGCCCTTCCAACGCCCGAAAATGACATGTCCATCTTCTTCGACCACACCGACGCCAACGCCCGTATCGTCGGTGGTACTCAGGCGGCAGTCGGCAGCCACCCCCACATGGTGGCTCTGTCCTCTGGAGTGTTGGTGAGAAGCTTCCTCTGTGGTGGTTCTCTGATCTCCCAGCGCACCGTCCTCACTGCTGCTCACTGCATTGCTGCCGTCTTCAGTGGCAATTCCCTCACTAGGTAAGTTCTGAACTCCAATCAAACAATAATAATTTCTAAATCCTTTTTTATTTTCTGAAATATTCTCAAACGAGCAGACGGATTACCTGATGGTAAGCAATCAATGCCGCCCATGGACACTCGCAACAACGGAGGAGTTACGAGTGCTTTGTCGACCTTTTGACAATTACGGATTTGTGTAATTTTTTTTGGATTTGGTAGAGATTGGACAAGGGGAGGGATTGGGCCTCCGGTAACCTCACTCACACGGCGAAAGACAACGCTGTGTTTGTTTCACGCTGGTTTTCTGTGAGGCCATGGTATGTCCTCTGATCAAGCTGGCCTATTTGTAGCGAAACTGAGTTTTCCTACACTTCTAGTTTAATTTTTTTATGTAAACTCTGTCCACAGCTCTCTCCGCGTTACTGTTGGTACCAACCGCTGGAACAGCGGCGGTACTTCCTACACCCTGGCCCGCAACGTGACTCACCCCAACTACGTAGCTTCCACCATCAAGAACGATATCGGTGTCCTCATCACCTCCTCAAACGTGGCTCTCAACAACCTGGTGCAGGTTGTGCCCGTCACTTACAGCTTCATCGGCCAAGGAGTTCAATCTAGAGTTGCTGGATGGGGCAGAATTAGGGTAAGTTAATACTGATGAATCCTGGCAAGTACCAATGTGACTTTTTCCGAGTTATATGTACTTTCTATGATTATTTAGACACTACTGACATACGGTGAAGGTAAACATCGTGAGGAAACCTGGGCTTATAATTTCTAATTATAAGTTTGAAATCGCCAACCCGCATTGAGCAAGCGTGGTGGTTAATGCTCTAACCTTGTCCGTGTGAGAAGAGGCCTTTGCTCAGCAGTGGGCACTTATAGGCTGATGATGAATACTGATGAAAAAAACAATAAATACCAAATCGAATTTCAATCCAAAAGTGATCAAAAGTTCATCTTCGTGTTTTAAAAAATGGTTGTAATATACAATTAGTTCTGTATTCAAATATAGTATATTCTAATTACTATTTTTCTCATTCCAGTCTGGCGGTGCCTTGTCTGCCACTCTCTTGGAGCTGACCCTCACCACCATCGAAGGTAACGACTGTGTCAACCGTGTGGCTCGCGCCTCCGTCGATTTCAATGTCCGTGCTCCTCCAGTTGAGCCTCACATTGAGGTCTGCACCTTGCACTCCCCTGGATTCGGTACTTGCAACGTGAGTATTATATACGTTATTGTTTTTAAGAAGACATTATTTAATTAACAGTTAGAATTTAATTTGGATTCTATTTATTCTGTGACTGCATTTTAAACTATCTTTTTTTCTTACAGGGTGACTCTGGTAGTGCTCTCCGCCGTGTTGACAACGGCCAGCAGTTCGGTATCGTCTCCTGGGGCTTCCCATGCGCTCGTGGCGCTCCTGACATGTTCGTCAGGATCAGCGCTTACCAGAACTGGTTGAGATCTGTGATCGTCTAAGAACATTGAAAAATGGACCGGGATTGTCTTGAATAATAATAATAATAAAACTATTGAATAAGTTTTTGTAATGTATGCCTTTCATTTAAAGCTTTTGAGGTCTTTTGCAAAAGCTGTAAAGAGATTTTATCTATTCTTTAACCTAAAGATTTTCATACCTGTCATCTAGGTGTAAACCTGGACTTAAATTTCTAATTATAAGTTTGAAATCGCCAATCCGCATTGAGCAAGCGTGGTGATTAATGCTCTAACCTTTTCCGTGTGAGAAGAGGCCTTTGCTCAGCAGTGGGCACTTATAGGCTGATGATGATGATGATGAATCCTTATCGCTTTTTTTAGGCGGGAATGCCATCCAATTGATTGGTTGACTAGACTGAGTTGCTGGTTGAATCGTTACCACTTTAGAAATTAAACAAATATACGGGAACATTTATTTGTCCTTTTTGTTTGTGACCTTCAAAAATATCCATACATTTGTTTCGTTTCTAAAGCGATAACGATAATCGACACTATAGTTCAATATCGATAATCGATAATCCAGTCTGAAAGGGAGGCTATGGTAGAGCGTACGAATGTCTCACTTCAGGTAGTTTCAAAGTGGGGCAAAACTAATCTGGTAACATTCAACGCCACCAAAACACAGGCGTGTCTATTCACCGCCAAAAGGAGCCCGTTCACCTTGGCTCCTGCTTTTCGGGATGTATCCCTGGAATGCACCGACCGCCTTCAGCTCTTGGGAATGGACATTGCTTCAGACCTTAACTTTGGGCGGTTCATTGAGTCCAGAGCCAAGGTAGCTGCTAGAAAACTCGGCGTTCTTGCAAAAGTCCGACGGTACTTCACACCGAGTCAGCTTCTAATGTTGTACAAAGCTCAGGTCCGATCGTGTGTGGTGTACTGCAGCCACATATGGGCTGGTGCTGCGAAATGCCACCTAGCGGCTTTGGATTCGGTGGAAAGGCGTGCAAAGAGGCTGATTGGAGATCCAGATTTGGTTGGGTCCAATATTCAAAGTCTCGAGCACAGGCGCAGAGTAGCCAGCCTTGCGGTTTTCTACAGGATGCATTTTGGAGAGTGTGCCCAGGAATTGCACGATTTGATTCCGCCATCCCAATTTCACCTTCGGACATCCCGGCGTACGGCGAATATCCACCCCTACGTTGTTGAGACACCTGCGGCCCGGACTAAGCGTTTTGCTTCGTCATTTATACCGCGTACATCGAGGGATTGGAACAGTTTGCCGGCTGCAGTCTTTCCGTCCGAATACAATTTAGGTGTCTTCAAGGCTAGAGTGAATAGGCTCTTAATAAACTAGTGCGCCTTACCATCAACGATTGCATCACTGCTTAACATCAGGTGGGATCGCAGTCAAGCACTGGTTTATTGCAAGTAAAAAAAAAAAAATAAAGTAAAAAAATCACTGTTGGTAATTAAATCGGATTATTTATAATAGTAGCACATTTTCTTATTGCCGAGGTTTGCTATACAAATTTGAAAAGGATCCTTTCATACGTGGTATTTCGAGTCACAATAGAAAACAACACGCCAGCGCTCGCTTGGGGTTTGATGAACTAAGTAAATATAACCTCTTTTTCTGAACATCGTATATACTTATATCGTTTTTGGCAGTATCAAAACAAATAATGTTTAAAACATATAATATAATATATTCATTACTTAACAGATCTTAAAACTAGACAACAGTGTAAAAAATATTAGCAATCTAATCAGTCCTCATAGAGTGCCATGGTAGACTCTAAAAAGTCCTTAATGCCATAAATCCTGACGTGGACGTCAGGTGCACCAACGGCGCAGTTGTAACCCCAGGATACGATGCCAATCTGCTGCATAGTACTTAATCTGACGAGTGCACTACCGGAGTCTCCCTAGTAATAAAAGAAAAAAGAGAATTAGATAAAGTACTGCTCATTTGTGGTTAAATGTACATTTTGCATGATAATGGAAGTAATTTTGTAGATATTATACCATTAGATTCGTGGGTAGTTGAGTAGACGATGTGAATAATTAAGTGTGGGAGAGCCATGCTTCGGCACGAATGGGTCGGCTCGACCGGAGTGATACCACGGCCTCACAGAAAACCGGCGTGAAACTACTACAGCGTTGTGTTTCGCCGTGTGAGTGAGGTTACCGGAGGCCCAATCCTTCCCCTTTCCGGACCCTTTCCCAATCCCTAAATCTCCAAATCCCTAATCCCTAAAAGGTCGGCAACGCACTCGTAACTCCTCCGTTGCGGGTGTCCATGGGCGGCGTTGATTGCTTACCATCAGGTAATCCGTCTGCTCGTTTGCCGAATTATTACATAAAAAAATAATAATAATAATGTTAGATGGAGGTTAAAACACCCATTTCTCATGCATGAGGGTGCGGCCTCGAAACCTGGCAAGCACCGACGTGTTTTTTTTCCGAGTTGAATGGTACTTTCTATGATTATTTAGACACCAATGACATGCAGTAAAGGGCAACATCGTGAGGTCTGAAATCACCAATCCACCTTGAGCAAGTGTGGTGATAAATGCTCAAATTTTCCACGTGTGAGAAGAGGCCTTTGCTCAGTAGTGAGTATTTTTAGGCTGATGATATAATGTGTGATGTGATTGTGTAAGAGGACAATCATGCATAAAATAGTGTTCTACCGCTGAATCTAGCTGAAGGCCATATAAATACTCTACTCTGCCCATTATCTACCAGGTAATGCTGGCTATCGAAACGCGAAAAATGCTTTAGAGTCCTAAATTGTGTGTTGTGGACGTCTGGGCTTTATCTAGTACCCATTCTAGGATTTATGTAAAGACGTAAGATTTAAGTATACATTTTTTTAGTTAGTTTTAGTTAGTTAGTTTTCTATGATTATTTAGACACAACTGACATACGCTGAAGGTAAACATCGTGAGGAAACCATGACTTATAATTTCTAATTATAAGTTTCAAATCGCCAACCCGAATTGAGCAAGCGTGGTGATTAATGCTCTAACCTTCTCTGTATGAGAAGAGGCCTTTGCTCAGCAGTGGGGACTTATAGGCTGATAATGATGATGATGATGATGATACATCCTTCCATTTCACATTGATAATATCTGTACTTACAAAGCACATTCCATGTCCTCGAGAGTGGAAGGTGCATAATTCAATATCACGCTGTATGGGTGGGGCATTGTTGTTTGATGCTATCTTCATTTGTTCCTGGCACTGGTCGTAATCCAACGTGTTCATGTAGAGAACTTGCTTGTCATCAGGTGTCGGTTGCAGGTGCTGGAAGAAATTAAATAATTTTGAGGATAGAAGAAATATTCTTGTAACTTGATAAGTTCGGATGTCGACAGTAAGGTCCATCTTACTGTTGAGTTAGTTAGCCAACTAATAAGTATTAGTTATCTGAACAAAATGGCACGTCACCTTTTTATAGAGTAAGATCATTAAATCACTTCTTCCGCCCAGAGTGAGGCGAGAGGATGTGTCAGAACGGGGAGGGTTTTTAGTCTTACTGCAAAAACTTGTTTTTTCTCCTGCTCTTGGTTGAGGCCGCGGTGCCTTATTGCGGTTACCCTGCAACCCCGGCTGAGCATCAGCCCTATAGAGCCTCATCTGGGGTGGTCTATTGGCTCTTTGAGGTGCGCTCAGAACCCAACGCGCCGTACGCTCAGGTCTGCTTCGGGTCAGATGGTGAATAAGGGTTACTCGCCGTCCGCAGACACACGCTTACGGTGGCCGGAGCTCATATTATGTTCGTTGTATCACGTACTTGGCAAGAATGAGGAAAACAGAAACTTTGAGAGAATATGAGTTGTACTAATAAATAATATAATTGATGTTAACTTACTATAACATTTTCTTCAAATCTTGGTCCAGTCCGGCCCCAACCAGCAACAAAAGACCTTTCATTCCCTTCAATAAATTCGTAAGACAGGCTGATGAGGGTCACTCGATCTGTCAGATGTACTGGCTCCCTTGTCACCAATACTGCAGTATCATACTTGATGTTTATCGAGTCCCATTGTGGATGCATGTGGTAGCCCTTCAGATAAACCATGGTGCCTCCTGAGTTCCACTGATTGGAACCCACTCGGGAGTGTAAGGTTCTGGAAAGTAAAAGAAGTGTGTTTTAAGGAAACCTGAAGCTTGCGAGTTTAGAATAGAAAAGTATTGGCAATACTTACAAAGAGGTTGAACGTTTGATCATCGAAAAAAAAGGTAGGTGTTTGTAAGCAGACATATTATATATGTATGATAAAAATAAATTGTAGTTAGGTGTGTCACTTCAAAGTATTATACTTCGTCGTTCACGTTTAGTTTTAGAAAGTTGGTTGATAATGAGACTAAAGTAGTATGGGCCGAAACTTAAGGCGCCCATTTCTCCTGAGGAGGTGGATTCGAAATCTGACAACCACCAGTGTCACTTTTTCTGAGTTAAGTATATGTGCATATTTTGTATGATTATTTAGACACCACTAACATACGGTGAAGGTGACGCAGCGTGAAATTATAAGTTTGAAATAACCAATCCGCCTTCCCCAAGCGTGATGATTAATGTTCAAACCTTTTCAATGTGAGAAGAGGCCTTTGCTTCAATAGTTTGCACATCAAATAGGCTGATGTGTGTGTTAAAATTTCAACTTAAAAAGACGAATAAAAAAACGTAAGGACTTACTTCAACAATCCACCATCATCAGCTATGAAAGACTCAATACAATGGGCTGCAGTCAACATAAGCCGCCTGCTGATGAGTGATGCCCCACACAACTGGAACATGACTCTTTCTCCAAAGATCAGGGCCACCGTGTACGGAGCTGAACCTTCTGGTGCATCTTCTCCACCGATTATGAAGGGCTGGTGGTCTGAAGGTGGGAGGGGAACTCCTGGAAAGAGAAAGGCACAGTTTAAGGCGAATGATGGACTGGATTGTTTTTGTATACCATTGATACTCGTAAGTGTTAAGGATGACTAGTACATGAGAACTGCTGGCTTGGGCTGATTATCAGCGTAGAGGACTCGGGGCTTTGTATGCCGCATTATATAGGCATATTCCACTGTGGTGCTGAGTGGTTTGGTCGTATTTTAATTGTATTTTGCTGGTAAGAAATGTAATTAAACGGATTTATTTTCTTTACATTATTTCATTCAAGGCTCGACTGCGAAATAATGTATTGTAAGTTTTCACCAGCTCTTTATACTGAAATAGCAAGGTTGTAAATGATGGCCATACATCGACAAAAGAAACACAAAATGTGTGGTTACTAGTTTAATATTACGGAATTTAAATACCTACGATATCAATAAACTTCTCTGGTCGAACCCGGGACCCAGAAATTTTATTTGTTTGTTTTAAAATATGTTTTGACTACAGTCAAGAGTTCCACGAATAGCTAGGATAATCATGTTGATTATGTACAAATTTAATTCCTATTTTTTTCTGTGTCACTTACCAAAAACAAAAGACGTTGTCGCAATAAATAAAAATAAAACTTTTAAAGATTCCATTTTCGAATTTAGAAACTTAATCACTTCAATAAAATACTTAAGAACTGATGTAAAATTTAAAAAATAATTACTATTTATACCAAACGTAATTTTTAGTCTATAACCGATAATAGGTATTTGACAGATTAAACATATATTTTTTTCGAACATTTTCGGCAGACGCACGCCCTTGACAGTTTAAAAATTGCGATCTTTAATTAGTAGGAATAATTAGTACAAGTAGATAATTAATAAATTAGTAAACAAGAGTGTAAGTTGTAGTTTATTGCACTTTACTTAACCTTGGAGATTAGGTGATATTTGGAAAATAAATAAACAATGAAAGACGATAAGAATTATCATGTTTCGTAGTTATGACTAAGAATCTTGAAGTTGATGACGCATATTTCTGTTATCCTGAAATCACCCAGTAATACCTGATGGTAAGCAATCAACGTTGCCCATGAACGCTCGTATCACCAAAGGAGTTACTGTAAGCGCTGCCGGCCTCTTGTAGGTTATTAGGGGTTTAAGGATTCAGAATGAGGGAGGGGAGCCTACGGGAGCCTACCGATTTAGATGGTTGACTAAATGTAAACAGTCTTGGTAAAGAGGTCGTACGCGATACATATTTACAAATATTATTTAAATTTAGTTTATTAGCTAACATCGATTTAGGTAAGTACCTAAATATATGGTTGTAAACATTTTTTATACAATTTTTAGACAACTTTTTGATGAAAAGGCCAAGATGTTTACCTAAATTGACCCGATTGACCATAGAAATGCGTCATCGCCGTAATTTTTTTAATTAAGTTTACTGCTAATACCCTTTCAGTTGCATCTACTTACATTGAGTGAGTACTTTTTATGACCTTGATGATGATTACGTACGATTTCAGAAAACAATTTGTAGTGCAAAGTCAGTAGGTACTATGATTTAATCAACATTGGTCACACACCTTAATCAGTCGGTCAATCACCAGAATGATAATGAAGACTCTTTGTTATAATTATAGTTCCTCATTTCGATAATAAATTATAGTATTTTGATGATAAAATATAAGAAATTAGCGTAGGTACCTATGACAATAGCAGATAAGAAAGAAAGTAAGTACGAGACTTGTCCTTAGCCCCCTTTTTAACCGACTTCCCAAAAGGAGGATGGTTGTTTTTGTTCTTCTCTTCTCTTTTTTTATGTTTGTTCGCCGATATCTCCGTAATTTATGAACCGATTTTGATAATTCTTTTTTTGTTCTCTGATAGTCTCAGAATAGTCCCATGATAAGGAAATCAGGATCTGATGATGGAAGACCAGAGAAACCGAGGGGAGCTTTCAAAAATTGTAGGGACGAGTGGTGCTTTTGCATGTGGTTTTAGTAGGCTTTTGACAACGCTACTACTTGCTGATGTTCAAACTAGACCATCAGGTCGTCGACGACGGCACCGACTTTAAGATTTTAATATATATATATATTAAATATTATTTTCTATTTAACTAAATGAAAATATGTATTACTTTGTACAAAGTAAATTTATTTTTGGCTTTTAGTTTACGTTTTGAAGTCGTTTTTTTTTGTTAAAATTGATTTTATACCTTCTCAACTGGGCTTGCAGGACAAGCGCAATAAGGCACCACGGCCTCCGCCTAAAGCAGAAGAAGGAACGGGCGATTTATTAGTCAGTAGCTAAGAGTCTGTAGTAAAAACTTCAAGAAACAAGCGTATACTTGTTAAAAGGCCGGCGACGCACCTGTAAATCCTCTGGTGTTGCGGGTATCCATAGGCGGCGCCGATCACTTACCATCAGGTGATCCGCCTGCTGGTTTTCATCATCATCAGCCTTTAAGTGCCCACTTTGAGCAAAGGCCTCTTCTCATAAGGAGAAGGTTTGAGCATTAATCACCACACTTGCTCAATGCGGGTTGGCGATTTCAAACTTATAATTAGAAATTATAAGTCCAGGTTTCCTCACAATGTTTACCTTCACCGTATGTCAGTGGTGTCTAAATAATCAAAGAAAGTACATACAACTCGGAAAAAGTCACATTGGTACTTGCCCGTTTTCGAACCCACACCCTTATGCATGAGAAACGGACGCCTTAACCTCGGGGCCACCACAACACAACCACGGCTCGTTTTCCTTCCATACCATAAAAAAAGTCTGGCACTCCTTCTTGCCTCACCCTGGGCGGGAGAAGTTATTTGATGATTTTCCCCTCACAAAAAGCCCACCTTAAATCTGAGGTCTGGTACGGAGCAGGAGAAGAAACGGGGTTATTTTAGTCAGTCAGAGTCTAACACGGCAGTCTGACGAGAGGAATCTCCCACCCACAGCGGGAGTCATTTCAATGAATCCCCTTTTAATCAGAGATGAACTAAGTAATTACAGTTTAATGCTAGGCACAATTTTCAAATGTGACATTCTTTTTTATATCTTTATTTATTTAAAGGCATACCTTGCAAAGGTATGCCAGCCTCATCATACCCTAATATAACTAATCACGTAACTTAAATAACTAACAAACGCATTATTGCGTAAGCGAGGGGGATAGTGGTGCAGCAACTACTTCAGAGATCAGTTCCGCTACTGTTTTTATAATAACTATCGTGAGACGTATTAAAATTAACTAAAAATCGCGGGTTACTCACGTGTGAACTCGAGAAACGCTCTGTACTGTACTAGTTTCGAACCACAGAGGGGTTGTTCCTCATGAGCAGCGTGCGCGGACGCGGCGACGCACGTCGCGCAGCTTACTGTCAGTAGGCTGCGCTAGTAGAGCTTTTCTCAATTACACACGTGAGTAACCCGCGACTTTTAGTTAGTTCCGCTTCTTTTGAATTTGGTGAAGATAATATCTTAATAAAAGCCCCAATATCATAGGTACGTATTAACCTTTAGCTCTCACACCACTGTCTCTCTTTCTTTCCTGTTCTTTTCACATTCCACCAGTAAATGTTGGACATCAACAACTCTATTACACACTTGGCGATTAGTTGTATCGACTTTTTTCATGAGGTAATGTGATATTCAATAAATCATATTTTTTCTTGACCTATACATTAACTGTAGCTGAATATATGACTGCTTATCTGAGAATGGGAAGGTATTACAAATCGTGATTAAGCAGTTTAGGAAACAGAGAGTTAATTACCCTAAGTTCGGGAAAGAAGGCTCCTCCGATCGGACGAGGTGATCATGCCTGGCTGGTTTCTGGTCAACAGATATCTGTCTGCATATTGGCGTTTTCTCTTCATGTTTAAGGATTGATGATTTGTGACATAATTTTTTAATTGTTTTTGTTCAATCCCTTCGTTTGCCATGCAAAGTTGAAAAAGAAATAATAAGTTTAAAATTTAAAAAACCCCCGACGAAAAGTCTAATATCCCTTTAAAAAGTAATAATTAAAAGAAAACGTGGCAAACATTTTATTATCAACTAAGTACATATTTCTATTTCGCCAGGGGTCTAATTTATTTTTTTATTTTAAACTTTTTATAGGTATTTTATATCATTTTCTCTCGATTACGTCATCAACATTCCCTTTCATTTGAGACCCCACTTGAGTATATTTGCAGACATTCGGTTACACTTCCCCACTTACCCAACTATAAATAAATATATTTTGAAATCATTGGTCTGAACGCACAGTAGGTATAGCGGCTTCGATACCCGCGTGAAAAAACTCTTTATGGTTCCATAAATATTTGGTCTAGGTCTAGGTATGATGTGTTTGTGAAAATCTATACTTGTAAACTCACCCAAGTGTGGGTAGCCAAGCTTTAGCACGAATGGGTCTGTGTGGAGTGATAGGCCTCACAGAGAACCGGCGTGCAACAACCACGGCGTTGTGTTTCGCTGTGTGAGTGAAGTTACTGGAGGCCCAATCCCCCACCCCTTCCCAATCCTTAAATATCCGAAACCCTCCCTCCCAAACGGCCGGCAACGCATTCGTAACTCCTTTGGTGTCCATGGGCAGCGCCGATTGCTTGCCTTCAGGTAATGCATCTGCTCATTTGCCGACATATCCTAAAAAAAACCAACGACATGCAAGAAAATCTTTATATTGTTTAGGTCTGTTTATGCCGAAACGAGCCTTCGCTTCTCTTTAAGTCCAAGAATTAGAATACCAATTCGACATTAATAAGTAATCGACAAAACAACTACACATAGAAGTGTATAATCACATTACATCGCATTAGCTAGTAATTAGATAAATCCAGGTTTCCTTACGACGTTAACCTTTACTGTTTTCAGTACCTAGTGTCTATACTTAGAAAGAGCTTATAAGTTAGGAAAAGTCACATCGGCGTTTGCAAGGATTCTGCCCCGCGTATCCTATGCATTAAACAATAGAAATTTAGGTAAGTACACCTATACGAATATATGTTTGTACCTAAGTCACTACACCGTATAAAACAAAGTAGCTTCCCACTGTCATTCTTTATGTATGCTTCAATCTTTAAAACAACGTGACGGATTTTGATCCGTTCTTTTAACTTGTTGAATGTCGGTTTTTGAGACACAATAGAAAATACATTGTGTCTCGCGTGGATCTCGAGATAATTAGAAAGAATTCATAAAAATATCATGAGGAAGGTTATAACATATTCAGTTCTGCGGACGAAGTCGAGGACAAGAAGCTAGTTGCAAATAAATGTTTTTATCACAATCCTCATAAATATGTTGTTTAACACATTTTATCACACTACTCGTAAATAGTTTAAGCCCCCTGTCTCGAACAAGTCTGGTCACAAAGTCAACGAAAGTTTTCCTATCTCCAATTTTATTAATCTGTCAATTGGCTAAGTAAAGGAATTAAGGGTGATTAAGGGATATTTGTATTTTATAGTATAAATAATACCATTATTAACAATTTTGTATCATTTACAGCTACAACTGTGAGAAGCGAATACTTATTAACCTGGTTCGATTATTAATTAGTTTACTAAAAATGTATTTCAAAATATTGTTTGTTTTTTGTTTTTGTGTAAACTACAATGCTAATGGTAAGTTAATCTTGGTACTTCATTTGTTTGCCCCCTAAAAACTAAAGTCTCTCTCTCTCTTTCTCTCTCCCTCTCTTTCTCTTTCTCTCTCTCTCTCTCTTTCTCACTCTCTTTCTCTCTCTCTTTCTCTTTCCCTCTCTCTCTCTCTCTCTCTCTCTCTCTCTCTCTCTCTCTGGTGTTGCCCGTGTCTGTGTGCGCCACCAATTGCTTACCTACCATCAGGCTATCCGTCTGCCGTATTCCATAAAAAGCCGGATAAGCTTAAAATAAAAAAAAAAGAACTGTAAGAGTGTGTTTTGAAAGTTATCGAAATTTTGGGCATCAATAACGCCCTAGTAGTCATAATAACCATTAAGCATCATGTTCAGCCGAGTTTACGGGTGAAGCGCCCCTTGTTGTAGCGCGCCTAGTTTGTAAGTGAACTAATATTACCTCGGAGCAGGAGAAAGAACAGGGTGGATTTTAGTCAGTAAGGGTACTTACAACTTTTCTTTTCTCCACCCACTCAGGTCGTAAGAACACATTTCATGACTTTATAAAAATCATTATATATAGGTACTTATACGATAATGACGTTACCATAAGCTTCAAACTTACTATTCATTTTCTGCCAATTCCTAAAAAAAAACTTTTTGGCGGCAAACAAGGTTGATTGTGTGATGGTAAGCAATAAAAGCTCACTCTCACGGTGGAACTCAACGCAATCGTGGATAGTCCGTGATAATTATGACTCCGTTCATAGGTGCACTTATCTTCTACAAGCTGGGGATTAGATTGTGCCTCTAGTAATCTCAGTAATGCTACAATTCTTTCTGCAGGTATACCTCTAGAAGCATCCATGCAGGATCTCAATAGCTACTTCACTCCTCGCGTCATAGGGGGTGAGAATACTCCTGAAGGTTACGCTCCCCATATGGTAGCGATACTGATTGGAGACGAAGTGTTCCAACTGATAGTTTGTGGAGGTTCCTTGGTGAAGGTTGATTTGGTGATGACTGCAGCCCACTGCATTACTGAGTTTCAAGTACAAGGAGTATTGATGCAGTAAGTATGGTAGAAATCTTAAAGATAAGTTAGTGATTATTTACCTTTAGTGTGAAACCAAAAATATAGAAAGAATTTAACTATGTTTTCGTCTTTGTCATCACTCTATCATCAATATGGCATGAGTTCCATAGTTACAGGTGAGTGTACCATGTAGAAGTGATTCCATTGCTATTTATAATAGATCTGGTACAACACCAGATTCCGAATTCGATTCTTATTTTAAAAACTTTCAAAAAGCCACAAATGAAGTCATTACATGATTTTCTCCCTACAAGCCAGTCCACCTTTATACACATAGCACATTAGCTTTTGCTACCGTCTTCACCGACAGCGCAAGCGGATGACACAGCCTGTGTTATTCCAGACTAAAATCTATCTTTGTACAAATTCTCGTGAAAACCCAATAAGAAATAACAAATATCTGAACAATTAAATCCCTACTTCACCCTTCCTATTGTTCTAGATCATTCCACGCAGTAGCTGGATCAAACAACTGGAAGACGGGAGGTACAAAGGTCTATTTCCAGAACTACCACATCCACCCAGAATGGGATCCTGTCCATATTAAGAACGACATTGGCTTCCTCGGACTCACTAAGAAGTTGGAATTGGGTGATCATTTACAGCTGGCTGCCATGAGCTCAAAGTTTGTGGGTCAAGAAGCCAGTTCTGTAACAGGATGGGGATGGATAGCGGTAAGTTGGAATTTTCTTTGTCTTTTTTTCGTTTAAAGTATTCGAATAGTTAACTACATATTTGACTGGTTTCTTATAAAAATGTCCGAGACTTAGGGTAGAAAGTCCATGCTACGACTAAAGGAATTAAGATTTCTGGATACACTATGAGCTTTAAAATTGAGACAAACCTTAAATTTGAAATAAAATCGCCCTAACTCTTCCTTGTAGCAGGCAGGTCCAGTAAATAAGAGTAGTTTTACTGTACCTTCAGTATACAAAATTAACTTTAGTTTACAGCATCGAATCGCTAACTTTCCTCTCCAGAGTATATTTTTACCATAATATTAAAACAAACTGCCTAAATAAATCTCGGGAGACCGACAAACTCCCTGAGCGTCGTTTTGTTTTCACTTCTCTTTTAATATCCCTTAAAATTCAGGTCAGCCTAGATTCCCCAATTAAAATTCTATTACCATTGTAACGTAGAGATTTTAACTAAATATCTACAGTGAAATTTTCTTCAACTTCGGTTAAACAAACATTAGCTTTAGGTGGGCTTCAGGAGCGGATTATTTGCGCAGTTAGAAATAATATTTAACGAACATTTTGGGTTATTAAGATTACAGCCATAAAAAGGAGTTATGGTGCCCAACACAGCACTGTCTTCTAAGTTTAGTAGTGACCTTGGCCATTTTATAGCCCGTAGGAGATTTGTAGTTGATTACATTCTTTATAGACATGTCAGAAGCTATGAATGCGGGCCACACGCGGAAGTAAGTTTTATTGCAGTCTTCAATTGCCTATTAGTGTTGTAAGAATTTATATATAATAGTAGATACTTCTTTGGGATAAGCCACGTGGAAAATTAACAAAGTAACATCGGGACCTTATTTTCGTTGAGAGTTTTTGGGGCCACGAACCCATTGCCTTAGGTTAGCTCAAGTCTCATCGTTTAAATTAGAATTATTATTTTTTAAAATGCAATAATTTTCAAAATGGTTTTCCAAAAACAAAACCTAGCCTAGCCTTGTAAATATTTACAATCACGGATTTTCACTTCCGAATTTTTTTTTTCAGCAATGGTCTCTCACTCCTTTTCATCTCCAAATTTTGGAGGTGACCACGTTGTCTCCTGAGGATTGTACCGATAGGGTTCGTGAAGCGAGCACCGTCATGTGGCCAAATGCCCCTCACGTGGATCCTACTATTGAAATCTGCACCTTACATTCTACTGGCAGCGGCTTATGCTATGTAAGTAGATTTTGGAACAGGATTTCTTGAAGAACTTGTTTATTTATTTTTCAATCATCAGTGCTACCTAATTCATCAGTTGATTTTCAATTTTACTTATTTGCGATAAAGTCGAAAACGTATAAAAATATTTTGCCAGCTTAGATATGTAACTTGATGTGTGGTGCTTTATTAAACGGTTTTATTCTGTTTACTTCTAGGGAGACTCCGGTAGTGCCCTAATGTCGAAGGAAACTGGGACTCAAATTGGAATAGCTTCTTGGGCTTTCACATGTGCTCGTGGTGTACCTGACATGTTCGTGAGGATCAGTGCATTCAAGGACTACATTGAATCTGTCATGGAACAATACTAAAGTATAGGTAATCTTCGTGTTTGTTGCTTTCATGTATTTTTTTCTTTTGTCATTGCTTTGCAACGACCTATGACTTGTTGACTGTTGGATAAAGAGAAAGAAATTGAATAAATAATTAAACAAGTACTTATAAAATAAAATACACCTAGAATCAAATGTATATCTACTATTATAGTTACTCATATTTTTGTGAATAAAAGATTTTTTTTAATATTTAATTTGTTTTCTTCATCAACTATACAACTATACAATCCTTACTATAAACTATAAAAGATTAAAATAAGAACACTTGACATAATGGCAATATAGGTACATTTTATATCAATTATATATTGACTTGTTTACTTAAATCCAATGACCTTCGCATTTGTTTATAAACAATTATAAAAACATAATTATATTATCAGTCTATTCTCCATTTTTATCTGTCATCAATTCCAAGGTCCGAGGCGGTCAATCTTGCGTAAATCTGAACGCGTAAACTGTCATTTTTTGACAAGTTGACCGTTTACTGCGATGTAGACTTTATTCCAACGGAATAAAGATTATTTTGTGCAAACAAATAACTCAACTGAAGTCAAAACAAATAATTCAAAGTTCCGAACAAACTTGTTGATTTATAATTTGTGTATTTTGTGTTGTTTCTAGTTTTCTAATTGAAAATAAACAAAGTAATAAACTTTTCCAATAATTTATCGTATCTTTTTCTCTTTACAACGAGTTCCCTTGTAGTTATTGTTTTACCCACATAAATCAGCAGAATCCATAAAATATTAAAAATGGAGGGTAGATTCGAACACATTCAAATAATTTGTCTGTTACTTCTACCTCCGCCCACCCTTTCTCTCAGCGAGCACGGAAGCAGCACGAGGTAAGACGCCTTCATTTTCTATTTATCCTAGTTTTTATGTTATTATTTTCTTAATTTACCTTCATTTGTGTCTAATTGATCCACGGACCGTAAACGACATGTATTCCTCGGTATTTTTTAGGATTAAATTAAAGAAATGGAAGGCGAAGAGTGTAACATTAATGTGGAGGCGCCATATCCAATATTGTTCATACCAAAAGTGTGTACGCAGTTGGAAACGCATTGCCAAGTTTCGGAAAACGTGTTCATACACCTGAACATCTCATGCCCGGACACTTTCGGTAACGAAACAGTTATATACCAGGGCTTCTGCAATGTGAAAGTTTTGGATGGCAATGATATTAACATCAGGTATGGATCACCAGATAGTTTGACAAGCAGTGACAACATACCTCTGATTCTGACTGAAGCAAACCAAATAGCATTTCCTGCATACAATGATTCCCAAGTGTGGATAGACCCAACGAGGAGTCCGTATGTATACAACCGTTGTGACTCACCACCTCAGGAGTCCTACACTATACGTGAGGCTCCCAACAACCACATAACTATTGAGCAGCACAACACATATATTACACAGAATGTGTACCAATACAATGAAGCTATTCGTTACTCTTCGGTCTGCGAGGAGCAGAAAGCAGTAGAGAAGATACAGGAAAACACTCAGAATCCTAATGGATACAATATGTATGAGGAAGATGAGTTTGAGTGTGGAGTTTTTCTATCTCAATTGTCTGAAGAAATTATCCATGAGAAGGAAACTAGAGCTAGAGATGAGAGGAAGTTTATTGGGTTGCAAACGGACAATGAAGCGCTGAAACAGCTGATGTCTTCAGACATACAATCCGTGTCAAGACAGCAGAAGACTATACTGTTCTTGGGTCATGACTCTGAGTCTGGTCAGACGGTACAAAATATTGCTATCAATGATCCTTCGTTGGAGTGCCGGGGTGCTAGAGCAATGGAGACTGAAGTCACTATTGGTAAGTTTTTTTGAAATTTCAGTATTTTATAATCTTCTTGGTATGGGTATGTATGTGCATCACTGGATTAATTCTAGATTAAAAAGCTGTGATTGGCTTGATTAGATTGACTGTATTTTTTGGTAAGAATAAAAGTTTTTTTTTCTTTCTTTACTTGCAAGTCATCCTGAACAGTTACATTAAATTTAGGGTATTGCATATTGACAAACTTTTGGTTCCATTTTTTTAGAATTAAATTATAATTATTTGTAAGCTACCTAGCATAACAAAAAAGCAACATAGGTATTTAATAAGATTTTTAGTAACCCTTTGTATCAAACTGATTTTGATTAATTAAATGTTAATAAGTGGAGTTTAATTTAATATATTTTGCATTGCACAAATATTTTATTGTAGTGTAATATTTTTATTATAATAATAAATCTAAATATTTACACTTTAGGTGTTTGATTAGTCAATGTAAAATGTTTTTATTTAATTGTACACAGTTATTACAATTGGGCAGCATAAGTTTAAAACCGTTACGCGTTTGTATTACATAAAAAAAAACTCAAAATAGCATTAAGTAGCTTTATAATTATTAAAACTTTGGTCGAAACGGAAATCGTACGCACTTGCTCGGCAGTTTCACTGGGGAGTACTAGTCACTAGACCAATGAAATAAGTCGGCAAACGAGCAGACGGATTACGTGATGGTAAGCAATTGGCGCCGCCCATGGACACCCGCAACACCAAAGGAGTTACGAGTGCGTTGTCGGCCTTTTGAGGATAGGGGTTGGGGATATAAGGATCGGGAAGGGATAGGGGAAGGGGAGGGATTGGGCCTCCGGTAACCTCAATCACACGGCGAAACACAACGCTGTGGGTTGTTTCACGCCGGTATTCTGTGAGGCCGCGGTATCACTCCGGTCGAGCCGACCCATTCGTGCCGAAGCTTGGCTCTCCCACATTTAATATTATGATATTATTTATTGGTATACAAATACTAAGGTGCCTTTTTTATTATTGTTAATAATAAAACAAATAAAAGGCAATCCTCAGGAAGTTCATCCTCTTTGTAAACCAAGACTGAAGTTAATCGTTTTTAAAAATATAATGTAAAATTAATAAAACTAACATTTCCAGAACCTGTTCCCGAAGAGTCGACCTCTAACGAAAAAAACCCACGCGCGAAGAAGTATCAGTGCAACAAATGTAAACAGATATTTGATCAACTATCCGCCTTCAAACAACACATGGTCGGCAGCCACCGGTTCCCAAACTTATACGACGTCTCCACCAACGTCAAGTTCATGTGCACCGACTGCGGCAAAAATCTAAAAAACCAAGAGAAGTTTGAGCAACACTGCCGCGGTCACGGCGACCCCGATCTGGAATGCAATAAGTGCCACAAAGTGTTCGCTTCAAAATTCACTTTACGCAACCATCGCAAAATACATTCTCGGATGTACCCATGCAACTACTGCACTAAATCGTATTCAACATCGCAGGAGTTGCAATCACACATAACGAAAGCACATTTTTCCTTTATGTGTGAATGTTGTTCTTTTACTTGCGAGAATTTTGATGATCTTACAGCTCACCAGGAGATTCATAAACAAGATTCACATTCACAAATCAATACTTCAAAGAACTCCAGTGAATCCGACTTCGCTGAGACAGGAGGCCTGTTTGAAGAGATCAGTGACTTCTCTGTGACAGAAGACATGGTGAAACGGGAACAGGATGAACGATTCCAAACTGCTGACTCGGTAATCGCTAAAGTGATGTCTAATAAGATATTCCGAAGCAATTCTACGAGTGGTAATAGTAAAAACAAGAAACAGCGGAAGTACAATAAGGTAATTATTTTTGAGTACTGGCTAAAATAAATTATTTTTATATTCATCCGAAGGTTATACTTAAGCGACTTTCTGGCTGTTGGTGGTCCAATAAATGTTTTAAATTATACATGTTCTGACCAATCAAAGCAGATATTTGCTTTTGTTCTAAATGTCATTTTTCCTGGAGGACAAGTCACTGTAATGTTCTAGTACCAAATCTGTGTTTCATCACGTGAGTTATAAGGTCTGATGTGATATAATCAGTCTTAACTGTCCATTGTTTTATGTACTTAGTAGCCCCGATGTAAAGTAGCAATGAGACTACTTTACCTACCTGTATGATGTGTACAAACATTATTTTAAATATTAAATGGTCCACCACCTGCGGTGCTACTGTGCAATATTTATTATTATGTTTCTGTTTTTTCGTGGAGGTTAACAGTATTTCATCAAGTCTTATTTCTCTTGCCCTGGGTGGCGAGAGGGATTGTCAAACTCTTAATGACCAAAAACCACATCGTTCCGTTTCCTGATCCATGCCGAGGCCACGGTATATATACGGTATATATTGTCATGACAGCCCTGGCTGAACATCAACCGTGTTGGCCCCTGCCTGTGGTGGTCTATTGGCTCTTTGATTTTGTTCTTAACCGCATTAGCAATCTGATAAAGCGAATGAGGCTTGCTATAAATACTTGTCCACTTAATTGTAAGAGACAGTAGTATAAAATTACCTAAAATATTTGTAACCTTTTGCAGACCTGCGAAGTATGTTTGAAAAAGTTCGATCGGATCGGTGACCTCAAGAGACACCTGATCGAGCACGTAATAAGGAGCACCCTCGCGAAGAATCCAGTCAACAAGTTCGGGGTTCTGAACATCCGCTGCGAGATCTGCCAGGAGAAGGTATTCTCTAAAATAGACAGATATAAGGCTCATCTTAGAGAGCATGCCAAGCTCACCCTTTACAAATGTACCTTCTGCGATAAATCCTTCAGTGATTCCAGTAACTTCTCTAAACACAAGAAAATCCACGGTACCACGTACTTCCAGTGTGACTTGTGTCAACGCAAGTTTAATTCGAAGAAAATGATCACTCAACACATGGAGTATCATAACAAAACAAACCCTATTCAATGTCAGTACTGCGACAAAGTGTTCCATTTTGAATCCATGCTTAATAAGCATATAAGGTGCTCGCACACCAAGATGTCGACCACCAAATTCAGGTGTAGGTTCTGCCGCAATTATTTTAAAAGTTTGAAGGAGAAATGGGATCATGAGTGGACGGTGCATAATGTTAGAAAGGCGATCGTGGATTGTCTGTTATGTGGTTCTAGATTCAGGAAGTACGCTGAACTGAAAAGACATTGCACAGATGAGCATGATACCGCTATTCCTCAAGCGAAACGTCTGCTTAGATGGAAAATGAAACGAAAGATGCAGTTTATTGACGATAATTCGTAAATGGCTGGACCATTTTATAAGCAATATTAATTCTTATTGCTTTTTTTAGAGTTTACTTTTTGATTAATGTTTAGGTATTTATTTTAGTTGTCCTTTAGTGTTCGTGATCAACCACTTAATGTGTCGTGGTATTTTATTAAATTGATACAGTCTTGTTATTCTTTGAGATTTTGAGTCAATTGTGGCCTATGCAATAACCTAACCTAACTCAGGGAATAACAGACATGATAAGTAGAATAAGTTTGTGATTTTTTAAATTAAGCTTTTGTTTTTATGTTATCGTGAAATCAAGGCGTTCAAGGCAAACTTCGTTTATATTTATTTTAAGTAAATGTGTGTCGTACATATAAAATTAATGAGCGAATTTCCTTTAAAATTTTTGTATTGATGTGAATTTTGACATTCGTTCTATTCTATTGACTTTTTTTGAAAAACTTAGATCGACGCATTGATATTTGGATTAAAATTCGCTTGTTAATTTTATCAATTCGTACATGACCCGTTGTTATTTTGTCTTAGATAAAGAAGAGTCTGTATTTACAACTTATTTATTAATAACTTATTATTAATTTATGGATTAAGTTTCTAGTTGATTAAGGCTGTGTGTCTGTGGATCTCAAACTTTTTATTTATTTATTTTTAATAGTTTTTTTTTATTTATTTACTCTTTCTAGTTTTGTTGGTTTTATTTTAGTTTATTAGTTTAATTGTAAATTGTTTTAGGGTTTTATACCTTATGAGTTAAAGGAAAATTTAGGTTAGGTAATTAATGGATTTGTAATTTGGCTTCTTGTCTAAATTATTCCATCCTAACTGATTGGCGATAATATGGATGTATACACCTACCTTTAAGATCATGTATTTATTATTAAAAAAAGGTACTTAATAGTCTAAAAAATCATTCAATATTATGAAATTAAACTTTACGAAATCATTTAAAAAATCTGTCTACTGTAACTTTAAATGTTAATATTCCCGCCTATCCTACTTGTTAGGATTATTATGTATTTAATATTATCTAGTTTTTTAAGAAAAATAGTTTACTAGTATTTGGCTTTATTGTTATTGTTAAGTTTTATTATGGTGGAGGTTGTTAATAAAAATATATTTATTTATTTACATACGAATGTTGTTTTTCATATGAAATCTTTACTTAAAAAATCTAAATCTAAATGATGAAAATATTATAATTGTTATTTTACTTTTAGGCAAAAACTATTAATAACTATTACTTATTCTCAAGTTAACTTTTGTCCAACTTCCTGACAGTAACAGATTAATAAAGTTGTAGGCTTAACAAAAACCAGCTTAATCGACTGTAAAGGAAATATTTGGTGCTGCTTATCGCTGAGGACTTCCTCTTCAACCGGTGAGATAATCGGTCGCCGTCCACGGTGGGCGTGGTGATAACAGCCGACACCTCCCAGTGCAGCTGATAACTTGAACAGAGCCTCAATGTCCCAGCACTGTGCACCAGACCTCCGTACCAGTACATTACTCGCTATAAATCATATAATTCAAACATCGCGGGTACTTTATGCGCAATGGTGGCGGCGTTATTTGTAGTGGTCATAGTCAGTGTGTAAACACGGCGCCTGTACACAAGCGGTATTCTCGCGCATGACCTTGGTCGGCGCGCATGCGCGGTGTCGCGGCCTGCCGACCCATCCAGCCACACATCGGCAGCTCTCGGCACAGTCCGCGATAGCGCTCCGCGGTGGTAGCGTCTCTTACCGCGAGTGCGGAACAACGCGGCCGCGTGATAACACAGAAAACCTCACCTAAATCAAATAAACACTATTCCTGTGTATATCGCGACGTTGACAATTGTTATTGTGTGTGTCGTGGCCCCGCAGCACGGATTCTACACATTCATAAGGTTAGTATGGCGATAATCTTTTAAGCTGTCACGTTTCGACAATTCAATGCGCTGTTAATAGGTTCAATCAAGAATATTATAAAGTACACTGGATGTTGCACCAAGAAAAAAGAACTGAGGACTAATAAAATGACCTTGAAACACGTCATTTATGTTTTGCATCTCTTTCATCAGGGTGACAACTATTTTTACTAGCTTTAGGATATTTTGTACATATTTATGATTGTTTAAATTCAACATTTCTATTTTAGTGTGGTTTTCGATCGTATTAGTTTTGGTTTAGTAATCTATACATACATATAATTTTAAATCTGTAGAGAAGTCAATTCTGTACATTAAATATATTTTCAAAATAACTATCAGGGGTTGGTAGTCGATAACTCGATACTGATGCTAAAAATACAATGGCTAAAATGTTTGTCTGTCTGTCGTATGTATTCCTTATCCCATTCGTTGCTACCAACACACCATTTGCGTTGATGGAGAAAACTACGTCATGCCACCAACATACCGTATGCGTTGAGGGTACCTTAGGATGTTTATTGGCATTACATAAAAATTATAAAAAATATTTGTCAACATTTCATGGCCAGAAACGTTTTTTAAATGTAGAAACTGTTGGTTTTTGCTTTGAACTATGTTCTTGTGCTGATAAGGAAACAACGGTTGGTGCCCCGAAGATCGATTTTGATTTTGGAATAACAGATGTTTTAATGAGTTTTTACCGCATGTTTGTGAATTGTCCAACGCCTGCGCTGCGCCGGCCCCGTGCCTTCGCGTTACGTCGCTTGTGTATGTTTTAGGTCTAAGGCGAGCACAAAGCGTGCGCGGATGCTGTGCGTGTGCAGCGCATGTTATCTTAATACACCCTTAAGAGTACTTACGTATACACACAACTGTTAACACTTAACAGTAATACTGCTATATCTAGATATCATTTCTTTAGATATTAAACTTGATACAAATGAAAAGATATTAAAATTGTCAGGTAAGCAACACAAATTAAAAAGATATACTACGTATGTAAACAATAAGAATTATAATTCCATTTAAGCTTAAAAATTACTTGCAGCTAAAAGCCAATACCTATTTGATTTTATAAGTCCTTACCAGTCCACGATATCAACCATCATCATCTTCCTGCCCTTGTCCCGTTTTATTTGGGGTCGGCGCAATGCGTTTTTTTCTTCCATTCTGTCCTGTCACTCGTCACGCTATCGCTAACTCCTCTGTCTTCCATATCACTTCTCACACGATATCAACCATTCAATAAATTTCCTTAAACAGTTACAAGTCCTCGTTTTAAAGTCTAGTATCAAGTCCTTTTTATTTAAATAGGTAATAACAAATGTCTATACATATTGACAGAGGGCGAATGTAAGATCATGTGTGTTGACGATAGGATCCCGATCTCGTTTTTCAGCCACCATAGGCGCGGGCTAGCGGATGGTGAATAGTTGGTAGGTTGCCGTCAGACCGTACCGGGGATATTTAAAAAAAGTCAGTACAGTGCAAAATCATTTTTATTAATAAAAATCACAAGTTTATATCACACGTGTGAAAATAAAACAGTTTTATGCAATTTTTGCCTTTTAGTGCGAATCTCACCCAAAAGCCTTTGAGTATAAGTTTTCAGATAAGAATGAATTCTTATTTTAAAAAACTATTCGAAATATATTTTATTATTTCAGTTTCGAAACATATTTTATTATTTTTAAGTGTGGGAGAGCCATGCTTCGGCACGAATGGGTCGGCTCGACCGGAGTGATACCACGGCCTCGCAGAAAACCAGCGTGAAACAACCACACCGTTGTGTTTCGCCGTGTGAGTGAGGTTACCGGAGGCCCAATCCTTCCCCTCGCTCAACCCCTCCTCAATCCCTAAATCTTCAAATCCCAAATCCCTAAAAGGTCGGCAACGCACTCGTAACTCCTCCGGTGCGGTTGTCCATGGGCGGCGCTGATTGCTTACCATCAGGTAATCCGTCTGCTCGTTTGCCGACCGATTACATAAAAAAATAAAAAGTTTCGTGTAAATCCATACAAGTATCAGTGATTGGATGTTTAGGCACAAATAATTCCTGCAACAATGGATAACATTTTTCCAGGACCGCTAACACTAATTTTGATTGCAAATTATTAGTTTTGCTGTGAAGCAGTATACCTTTGGATACCGAGTGCTTAAACAAACTATCTGAGTAGCGGACTACCTTGAACGCTGCATCAGATGCGAAACATAATTTACCTCTATTTACAAAGGTCGTAAACGCAGAATGTCTATTAATATTAACAAATAATCATGATCATCTTTTTTTTCATTTTCGGTAGTTAATAATTGATGACAAAAGTCACGAATTTTTTTTTGTAAAATTTTATGAACTATGTATGAGTTCATAAAATTTTACAAAAAAAACGAACAATGTTTACTAACGACTTCAAATCTTTTATTTTTTGTTCATTTCGCGCAACTTTTTGTTGTAATTTTTTTTCTTTTTTCCAAACACTTTTCCCGCAGTGAATTTAATTTTACATTGAACATTAAAATCTTTTAAGCGGCGTCGTTTCGCTGGCGGTTCATTTTCATTAACTACCTGTGGAACAAAGATTATAATCAGTAACAACTAAGATGATCAAAAGGTCTCAATGTCTATCATGAGCTTACTACATCGTGAAAAAACCAAAAAACACCTAACCTGGATGTTGAAGGTTTGGTTTGACTTCTATGCCATAAGTACAAGCTAATACTACACAATAAATTAAATACTTACAATATTTTCAGTGTGTGTGTTGTGCGTTGGTATTGTTTCATTTGATGAAGCCGAGCACTTGAATGGCGTTGTACTTTCCTGTAATTTGAAATATTATTGTTAACATGATTGCTAGGTATGTAAGCAGCAAATTTTGAAAAGGATAAAAACATACCTTAATACTAGACAATAAGTTAAATACTTACAATATTTTCATTTTGTATGATGTGTATGTCCTTTTCGCAATAGCTGTGTTCTTTTCCTGACATTGTGGAACAAGTATCAGTTTCTGTCGGTATCATTGCATTAGGTGAAACCAAGCATTTGAATGGCGTTTTACATGCCTGTAATTTGAAATATTATTCTCAACATGGTTGTTGGATGGGTAAGCAGCACATTGTGAAATGTAAAAAATGCTTACCATAACGTTATTACCACAGGAGCATAATTGTACAGAATCAACCAGAACAGCACTATTTAAAAGCCTTTTTGGTCTTAATGGATCATAATTCTCCGGCTTAAAGTGTAAGCTACAAATCTTTGCTGATTCATAAAACTTTTCTTAGCCTTTTCTTAACCCTTTTAATAGCAGACAACCATTTCTGCCTTTTTTCCGAGTCCTTGAGAAAACTGAAACATAAAATTAATTGTATATTAACCGAGTTGACTGATTTAATTTACTGTAATTAGACCAAAATAGCAGGACAGCTCTAAACTTAGTTTTGACACTCTTTTAATTATTAAAATTTGAAGACCTTTCTGTTTTACCCTCAGATATAATACGTTAGTCTCATTATAAGAGCAACGAGGCCTACATAAAATTCAACCATTCCACAAATCAAAAAGTATCTACCTAACTTAAAAAATATGGTCACTCTTTAGCTCTTTGTTTACAAACACATAATTTTGACGTTTAAGACTAAACGTACCTGTTTTTTAATAATTAAATGCGATTTACGCATATAAATTTCTAAACGATGACAAAGATTACTAGAAAAATATTTGTGACACCGTTTCGAACGTAAATATTTACAGATTTTTTAAATATTGGCATAAAATACGTAACGATAATGTATAACTTAAAATATGGTATTTCTGGACTTACCTGTGAAAGATGACATTTGATGTTGGGTTCCATACACTTGTACAATCTTTGACTACGCAATACATAATAAGGCACTTTAAATTAATTCACAAATCCTCGAAATACTTCAGTCAAACACTTCGAGTAGTCGAAAAGTAATTGACAGAGTAGCCATTTTGGATAATACTACCCCAACAGTGTTACAAGTTTTGAACTCCACGTTAAAAGTTTAAAAGTGGGTAAACTTAAAAATAATTTTAATAAAAAAACAACTTTAAAATAGCCTGAATTAACTATGAATAACTTTTAAATTGTTTAAATTTTTAAGGCTGATATTTGGATTTCGAAATAAACATAAAATATGTGTGCCTCTCTTTTGGTAATATATTTATGATCAGTTACCAAGGTAAAAAGTCATTTTATTATGGCAACATTTTATTCAAGTGTGAGCGAGATAAAAAACATACGAAAGGTGAATAAACTCGGATTCAATAATTTCTTCTAGGGGCAACATCCAGTGTTCTATATAATATTCTTGGGTTCAATCCATACCGGGTTTGTTTGTCTGTCTGTGTGTTGATGTATAGTTGCGATCGGACTGTGGATCGTTAGTTTTATTGCACACTAGTAATGGTGTCTTTTAACGAGTGCCTCTCTGAGTGATTTACATGTAAAATTCCATCGAACTGAAGGATTTCTTTGTCTAAACAATTCTCTATTTAGTCTGCTGTTATTTAAGTGAAACACGACTTCTGGCATAAACAAAATCTGTTTTCAGGGAAATCAAATAGATACCTAGATAGTTACAGTAATTGAAACAAAAGTTTGAGTATCTTCATGCTAACTGTCAAAATTTTGACAGATGCTGACACAACACAGAATCGATAAGTTTTACGATTAAAAAAATAAATAATAAAGTAACGCGTATGTACACCAGCGTAGATAGGTAATTTTACGAAGAAGTTCCTATCTAATTATAGAATCGATTGATTTGAACATTCCGACTGTTGAACGAATTCGTGATAGTAAACAGGTAACAATTGAATTGAATAGGTAATTCTAGTATGAATGTAGCTGTTATTTGTATTACAATGTATTTATACATTCAATAATATTATTTCAAACAATGTAATGCCAACATTATCCTTATCTCTGTCATGGTTTGCAAAG